AATTCAAATACATTGTTCTTCATTTATTCCATTGAAATCATTTCTTCCTCATTTTCTTGTTCTTGAAGTGGTTTGGAATTTTTTACATTGTCAAACTTTGTTTGATCTTGGGCAATCTTTGGGAGGTGTTTTCCCGACAGTGTTAATGATCTAGTCTTGTGCAGTTATAACCATATACACGCTGATAATGCTGGCTTAGTTGTTTGTTTATTTATTAGTTATGATATATATTCTGCCATCTTTTATGTGTATTTGTAACCCATTATGATCTTCTTACAATGTGAGTAGTGAAAAACAATGTTAAATCCTATATTAAGGAAATAGGTACTTAATTTTTGTTTGGAAACTAATTTTTAAAGACCTTCTTATTCCGAAAGAAATTTTAGAGGAGCCACATTGGACTAGTTTCCTCTAAAATCTAACTAGAAGAAACACGTACATCAAATTAGCCAAATGGGTTTAACAGCGGCTTTTGTGTCTGCTTTTGGTTTCTCAAAAGCCAAGCCAAACGGCCGTAAAAACAACTAGATTGACGAATGTGCTGCAATTGTGGAGTTCAATTTTGCAAGGTACAACAAATTACTAGTATACAGATTTAATTGAGACTTCAAACGTGCCTTGGAGATCTGGGAATTTTGAAATTGTCATCTGCAAAATTGAATATTCTCCCGACCCCGAAGAAGATATTTGGATTCATTCTTAGAATTCCTTTTAATTGTTGGAAGCTTAGCTTGCTTGTATCGCGCATCTAGAGATTTTTCCGTGGATACTCTGATTAAATAGGATATGTCACTTTGCTCATTGTTTGAATTTTCAGACTTCAAATTATCAATCTGACGCCACAAACAATTGGGGATACTGAAATGTACCTCCACGCAAAACAGTATTTGTTTTGATCAAAACAGAGCCGCAGGTGGTGGTAGGGTGTCTTTGAGGTTCTATCACATGATGCTGATTAATGGTGTTACAAGAGGTGTAAAAAATATATTATGTTTGGTCTTGTGAAGTTTCTTTTGTTGTTTCAGAGTTGAATGTGATACTACTTGGCATGACAAAATCAAGGTTAAGAAAATGAATTGGAAGAAAGAAGACACAGGAGTTTTATTCCATACTAAATAGAAAAACTGCCAGACATATATCACCTGTTGTTTTTGAGACGAATTTTGGGGAACAATTAACTATTTGATGTTACAAATTAAATAACACCTCCACTTTCCCATGTGTGTCTGTTAGGGGAAAAAGCATAATGAAGTCATTGTACGTTGTAGGAGTGTACTAACATGCTTCAGGATATACCTACTAATAAGTTGTAAACTAATTCTTGGTGTCTGGTGTTTTGGATCTTTACAATTATCCCAATTTTAAGAAAAAGATTCATCAGGTTATTTGCAGGGTGCTGTTTGAAAATCTTCCACAATTCCACTCTCTTTTGATGGTACCATAGTGATAGCTCATGCCAGGAGCTTATGGCCTGAGCAGACTAGTCTACTTTCTTGCCTAATACCTAGTCTGTGGGAGACTAGGAGTCAAATGGAAATTTCTGAAACCACAAGGATAGTTATTAAGTCCTTGTTTGATACCCATTTTGGAAGAAATAATGCATTTTGAATAGTATATTGATGAAGAATGTGTGGTTAAAAATTAAAAAAAAAAATTGGATTTGCGTGTAATTTATTTTATTGAAAAATGCGTGGTTGAAAATGAGTTTTGAAAAAATGAATTTTTAGAGAAAATGAGAATCAAACAAAGGCTCAATATTTAGTAGCATGTGGAAAATATTCTATCTTGAGTTGCTATTTACATGAACGAGACAAATTTTAACCATCCTTTTAATTTATATTTGTCATCTGCTTAAAGTATTCTCATTAACCACCAAATATGTTGAAGAAAGATTCAAGAACCCTTTTTTTCTCAAAATTGATTGATGGGTGGCTTTGTATCTTGATGTGAATCCGCATAGCAACGATGGCTACGAAATCCACAACGAGACTGTTGTACCTAAGAAAGTAAAAAATAATCCCAGTTTTGGATATGACCCAAAAATGATGAATCAAGCAACCAACACAATCAATAGTTATGTTGATCTCTTGGTTACACAATTCGTGAATCTCACCTAGTTTGAAAACGCAACAAGAAATCACTCTTGATAAGTTCAATAATTATCCACTGAACAACAAGGAATTTGAAAGCAAAATTATTGCATCTCAATTGAAATCTCAAAATATCAAAGTTGTTACAATGAATGGTGAATAACCCTATTTATACGAAACCCTAAAAACTAGTTCAAAACAGAAATAATGTTTAAAGATTACAAAAATATCAATGGAAATAAAATTCCCGTTCAATTAGGTAACTTGTAGGAAAAGGAAAATCTTGTCTCAGGAATGAACTATGCGGTATCATAGAACAACTTTCAGCTTTCAGTTTTGTGTCGAGAATATGCTATGCAGGCATGTCCTTTAAGCCATGCAGTCGCATAGCTTAAATTTCAGCTCCTCTTTTTTCATGTGTAGAATTTAGTGATGATTTCGAAATATTGTACTCATGGCGAAAATTCGACACCCGAGCTAAAAGTTATGCCTATTTTAATATACGCTACTCATTTTTTCATATATCGTCCAAAACTTGAATCCAATGCACCAAACATTGTTTTGCCTTCATGACCAACATGTAAGTTGTTTTTTGGCTTCTACACTTCATCCTTTTGGACTCCATAGCTTGAACAAGTAATTTGCATGGCTTCATTAACCCTTCGAGGTCTTGAACCTAGCCTTAGGCTCTTCCCCTCAATCGCCAAATTCTTGGTAATTCGTGGCCTCCTTTGGATCACATCATATCTATTCAATTTGTGCTATCAATTATTTGATTAGTGTTATTATAAAACCCATTCCTACTTTGGTGCTGATTGTGCTGAAATTAGTGGTAGTCTCAGGAGGCACCATGGCATCTTGAGGTGCTTACAGTAGCACATTTGATGATTCAGCCCTTATTTTGTTGACTGGTACCTGCATATGAAATTTGAGATGGTTTTTGTTGTCAAGATGCTAATAGTCGGTTCTCTGTTAAGCATATTTCGTTGTTAGCAAAGCGGAAGCAAGCATGCATATCCCTCGAGTATGAGTGTGAAAAATTTAGAAGGCAACAAAAGAAGAATCATGAAATACTAATATCCATTTGAAAAAAACAGTGGCCTTCGACAAGGTTTCCACAAGCTTTTAACCAAATGAAAACCCAACTGACGAAAATATAATGTTACCAAACAAAGTTACTGCATCACAGCATCGGGAAACAAACAAAATGTGTATTGATTCGCTTAGAATTACATACAAAAACATGAAGTTGTCCTTTTCTAGTGCGCGGTTGACTTAGTACTGGCTGCCTATCTTTGATAAATATGTATCACTACAGTTCACATATAACTCATATATCTTAAGATACAGTGTGACCACTGGCCCTGTTATTCTGAGTGCTTAATTTTGAGTTTTTGGACTCCAAGTTGATTGCTTGGTTTGAACTACCCAGAATGATTTATTATATACTTGTAGTTTGTTTTAAAGAATATCCACATTGACCTTTTTCTAATTTTTCCTTCTTATTACGCGATTACAGAGTTCTTAAACGATGTTTTAAATGATCTGATTGACGCTTTTCTTTTCTCGCCTTGTTCGTTTTTATCGGTCTTTTCATCTCTGTTAAATCTACTCTTCATCAGTGGTGTGTATATCGTATACCATAATAATTAATCAGATAATGATAATATTTTTCATGAAAAGTACTGTTTAATTCATATTTTGTACCTTTTTCAGAGTTCTTGTTGTATTGATATTTGTTAATTAGAAAAAGTTTGCTGCCTTAAATTTTCAATGCTTATTATTTCTTCCTTTTCCTTCTGCACATGACTCCAAGAGGTAGTTTCCGCATTTTGTGGTTACTAAAATTTTGGCGAGTCTATAACTCAACTATATATGAGGAATCTTATAGTCTTTTATCCTTTTCTTGTAGGTAGTCATCCGTTTTCACTTCAGCTAATTATACTGAGGAACTTGGCATTTAGAGATGCAGCTGAACTCCATAAAAGATGCATTTGATCGTGTTACAAAGAAGCAAAAATTATCATCCTCTCAGTCTCTCGAAATGATCGAACAGATTGTGCAAGAAATAGAACAAGCATTATCAAGACAATCAGGTCATGATTCTGCAACCCAAAGTAATCACAAGTTTATCCTAAGTGAACTAAAAGCAACATTGAAAGAAATTGCTTTACTCAGCAAGCTGGAAGGCACCCAGAAAGACGTAAACAGTGCATTGAGCAAATATTCAAAGCTGCTCGAGAAATCCTTCAATCCTGATATATCAAAGGCTTACCGTAATATTGATTTTGATATACATACTGTTAACCGAATAATCGCTGATCATTTCTATCAGGAGGGCCAGTTTATTCTTGGTGATTGTTTTGTAGACGAACCAGAAGCCGCAGCTAAGAAATCCCCTTTCTTAGAAATGTATCAGATACTAGAAGCCATTAGATCACAGAACTTGGAGCCTGCTTTACAGTGGGCCACTACCAACCATGAAAAACTCAAACAGAATGGATCCGACATTGAACTGAAACTCCATCGTCTTCAG